ACACCTCGCGGAGCCCCCCAAAAAACATTTGGGAGAAGAGGGCTTTTGGAATGGAAAGACATCGCTGAGCCCAAAGGGCTGATGATATTAGTTGCCGTCGAGTGCCTTCTGTAGAAGACCTCTTGAGGATCTATCGAGATATCCCTGCTGGTTCCTTCTGATGGCGTTGGGTCTGCATCCTCTGGCAAGATTAATTAAATAGTTGTAAGCCTCTGACAAAAAGCCATAAACGTTACATATCCGAACTCCGATATTAGGATTGAGAACGAGCGTGTGCGATGCATGGGCCCAGCCCCATCCAATATACACTCGACCCCCCGAGCTGGCTTCGAAAATCCTCCCCCCTCACCTGCTGCTTCCCAAGAGGAGCACGCAATCTCCACCCAGGCGGCCCTGCAGGCCGCCGAAGCCGAGTGATGGCACGCCCGACGCCGACCTCCCCCAGGGTCTCGCGCGTGCTTGGAGGCGAACAGACAGTCGGTCCGAGATATAATAACGAGGTCAGCTCGGGGAGGGTACCCTGATGTTTTTCGTGCTTGTTGGATGTTCTTGTGCATCTTGGGGGATGGCACCCTCGAGTTTTCTTCATGTTGGCCGACGGACAGTCTCATGCTTTTGAAAGATGTTCTTCTGTCCTGGGCCCGACTGTAGCCACAACAGAAGGGGCCGCAGGCAGGAGCGAGGGGGAGGGGCTGGGACGGGAGCAGGAGAAGGCGAATCAGCACCAGCAGCGAGAGGGACGGGTCGCTTTTCGGCATGGAACGCCCTATGGAATGCCACCATCGACGCCAACGCAGACATCATGAGGCGTTTCCGAACCAGAGTTGCATCCATCTCTGCCTTCTGCACACGAAGCTTGATACCAATCGGGGCGTGACAAACTTCAGCCGCCCGAGCGGCCAACATCTGCTTCCTCGTTCCCTGCGATCCACTACCCAGGCAAACCCATCGTCATCATATCGGAGGAGTCTCGCCGTGGCTCAGCCACGCGCAGAAGCTGGGGTCGGCGGGAGGGGGGGAGACTTCTTAGAAACACCCTCCTTTTGCTAGAAGGCGTGGGCTCCCCTTCTCAGAAGATAGTGGTTGATTCTTAGAAGCTGCTCCTGGCGTGCTTCGAAGAAGCGGGTGGCTTGCTTCTGAGAAGCTTCTTCTGCTTCAGAGAAGTTGTCCCCTGCTTCGAAGAAGCTGCTGAGGTAGTCATACGAAGCGGCGCGTCCCTGGCTTCTTGGAAGGGCGGCTGGCGCCTTCTGAGAGGCAGCCTCCCTCCAAGACGCTTCCCCCCTCCCTCTACTCCCCTTTGTGCGCGCCGCCAAGTCGTAGCACGGGGGCCGAGCCGGCCGAGGCTTCTCGGAGGGGCTGTTGCGCATGCTGCAGGGGATGCAGAGAGCGCAGCAGGCCGCCCTCCGCCCCCCTTTTTGCTCGCTCCAGGCTCTCGCGGGTGTCCCTGAACGGGGGGGGAGGGAGGGACGGAGAGAAGGAGGGGGGAAAGGGAGGGAGGGAGGGAGGCTCTTTCCGCGATCGCTCGCCGCACAGTTGCACTGCACAATTGCGTCTCATGTTCAGTCGTGCGCACCCCCATCGGTCACACGCCAAGAGCGCCTCACGAGTTCTGCTCCCGACCCAGTGAGGAGCGGAGCCTTGCGTGGCGTTCGTAGCTGCGGCGACCAGACCCGCGCGTCCGATGTCGGTGCGTATGTGCCTCTTTCCCTCCCTTCCTCTCTCTACCTCTCCCTCCCGCCCTCCTCTCTCTTTCTCTCGCTCTCTTCTCTCGCTCTCTATCATCCCACCCTTTGTCGTATTATCATGTGTTATTGTCCCTTCTCCCCTTTCTCTCGCGTGCGTTTCTCCCGTTGCTGTCCCGCTCTCACTTGTGTGTCCTGTGGAGCGAGCCCTGTACCCAGACCGTGGTCACAGTACAGAGCCCGACGGTGTTTCGAGATTCTGAGAAGTTCGAGTCTGAGACCTCCAGACGGCTGGTGAGAGATCTACCGTATTGGATTTGATTTCGCAGTTGGGGACTTCTCTCGCATCTCAGATCATACCGGCTGCTGTCACGCTGTCACAGGTAGCGACGGGGCGTTTGAGGTTCACGCGCTTCAAGTGCACGTACGTGAGCGGACAGAGGTCCGCGTTCCATATCTTCCATATCTTCCGCTCGGGATAGCGGTGTGCAGCAATTTCTATCAGTACGTCATTTCTTCTTGACAGTTGTAGTTACTATACCGACCTAGTGGTTTTCACCTTTCATACACTGCTGACCTCCCACGAAATCTTCAGTGTGATCTGCACATTGGTGGACTATCGCAAAGCACGATGGACGAGGATGATTGTGCAATGGATGATTGTGCAATCGGCGATCGAAAACTCCCAAGTGATCGGTCCATACCTATGGCAAATAGAGGCGGAGTGGCGACGTTTCAAAGTGGACATGGACCAGCGAGAAGAAGAATCCTAGAACATGGCGCTGATAGGTCACAACGATCACGGCAGACCCGACTGCATAGCGGAAGAGGACTGGGACCCGATGCAGGACGAGAGCTCAGAGGACGACTGGGAATGGCAGTGGCCAGTGTTCAGGAGGAGCCGATTGCGATCCCCTTTCGAGCCCTCGGAGCTGGAGCACTGACGATTCTTAGTGCCCTACCCAGTGGGCCAGCCAAGTCCTCTGCGTCAAGTGACGACTTTTCTACACTACCTTGTCCAAGAGTTCAGGCTTGACGATGGGGGGGGTCTGGCGCAGAACTCAGGATGTGGAATTTGTCCAGACGTGAGCATCGGCATATTCGGGTTTTCACGTCGTCTTACCTCGCATTCTTACGCACGTACGTGGGTGATCGCCCACGCATTTTTCGATCGTTCCGTGGAGTTGCCCTGTGGAGTATCATTGGGGTGGTGCTGATTCTTTCAGGCGTGATGCGACTTCGTGAGGAGCTCGAGACTCAGCACCCAAGGCGCTGGGCTCGGAGACTCCTTGATGCCCTACCACCAGAGTGGCGTGCGGGCACCTTTGATTGGAATACCCCAGTCGCTCATATGGCAGTCCTCAGTATGCTAGGTGCTCCCCTTCTCCCTCTCCGTGCTGTGGACTATGTGACGGGCACACATGTTGCGCTGTGCGCTGGTAGGGCTTACCTGCTAGACAGCCACCTTCCTGGGCTCCCAGGTAGAGTGCAAGAGACCTCGCTCAAGATTTGTTGGGCGATTTCAATCGAGCCCGCATGGCACGGCTGCATGCAGACAGGCGCCTGCGTGCACTCGGACTTCCAGCAGCTCGACGCCCCCACGTTTGCTTGCCGCATGAGTTCCAAGCAAAGAGGTTACAGTCATTGGTCAAGGGGTCAATCAGATGCACGACGACGTCGATGCGTTCTGCCCCAGCTCGCGCCTGGCATCAGCTAGGTCCGAGAGCCACCTACCGCGCCCGACGAGCGCGGAAGGACAAGGTTTCAGCCAGTCGTTTTTGTGCTAAGTTCAAGTCAGAGTGCCTCCAAGCATTGGTTGCAGCCACACAGCTCGTGACGGGCCCCCTGAACCTCCAGCACCTACCAGGGGCTTGGCGGCTCCCGATGTCTTGGGTTCCCAGGGTATCTCTGAAGTCAGCTACGGTGGGCCTCCTGGGGCGGGCCCAGTATGTGAGGTTTGCGCGTCCTATACTTCGGAGAGGTCTTCGGTTTCTGGAACGGAAGTTTCGAGGTTCGCGCGGCAGTGACCTTCAGACTGCTGCGCCACCTCCGCCTACCCGATGGACCGAACTAAAAACCGATATTGAATCCCACTTGGACCAACCTGCAACAGACATCCTCATCGCAGATGACAAGCAGGTGGATCAAATTTGGCCGGCTGACGGACGTGATGTGGTAAGGTGGCTACATTGGACAGCAGAGCTCGACCCCGACTGGCAGGCTAGGCGTGATGCGGCTACGTGGCCGTGGGCACGTGCGCCGCATGGTCTTCCTCCCTGGCTCTGCTCAAAAACGATGCTCCCGAAAACCTCCCAGAGCACCTCTCCCCCGCGCGTGTTCCCGACTGTTAAGAGCGAGTGCTTTCTTCCAGATGGCGCACGGTGCCGTGTCAAACCTGGGCGCAGCTGCACGCGTCGGATCGTGAACTCGGCCGGTGCACCTGGCGCGACTGGACGCAGATGCGCGGGCAGAGCGACTCGGCACCTCCTGCGTGCCAGTGGAGTCTCATGCAAAGCCTTCGACACGAAAGACGCCTCGACCGAGAAAAAAAGAAGAAAAGATGACCGACTCCCTCGATCCCCCAGTGACCGATGTGCGTCAGCGCTGTTCAGCAGTGCTGGAAAGCTTCTCAATTGTCGTGGCAGACGCGGATCAAGCATATGAGCAGTGTAACGCTACGTGTATCGGTGGGGCGTGGAAGTTAGTGGCTCGCGCCATAGTTCGGGTTCTTGGGGCGCAGCTCTGGCCAAGAAAGGCAAGGAGGACATGACAAGAACGTTCACATCCAGTACTCCCCCTTCATACTTCAAAACATCAGTCACACACATCACGTCGACACTCCTGGCATACTGCTGGATTTCCTTGGTGGCGATTGGTGGGATTGCGCATGGACTTGGAGGTTTACAGATTGGGGGGGTGCTCTCGGGAGTAGCGCTCTCGATCCTGATGGCCCACCTTGAATTAAAAGCCCATGCGTATCCGACGCGGTTTGCATCGGGAGGTTTCGCCGCGTCCCCGACCTCTGGAACGGTGGACATAGGCCAGCGACGGTGCGTGGACGACATCCTGGGCGCAAGTCGGGTGCACTGCAGCAAGTGCGCTTACTGCTATCTCCCCCTCGCGCACAATGTCAAGCTCTCTCCCGCGCCCGACCTAGAGGCCCCGAGGTCCCCGTGTATTTGGCTGTGTCTGGAGATCTCCACCCTGTGATATGGTTTATGGATTCTGTCCACAACTGAACATTGGCGATGGCTTCCCGAAGGCCGCTGCCCCCCGCGCCCAAAAACCAACTTCCGACCCTGGGCTGGCAATCCCCCGATGGGTTTCAATCGCGTCGTGCCCCTGTTCACGGGCATACTGGCGCGATCACAGTGCTTGGACCTCCGTGCCCCGATCGCCCTGGCCTGGATCCTCGAGCTCTCCCTGGAAATGCGTGTCCTCGGATGCCAAGCAGATCCACTGGCTGCAGCGATCCACGCCTGCCCGCGGTCCATTGCCACCCAGAAGGTTCGAGCGAGCCTACGGAGCTGGCGAAGATTCCACTTGCGCGAGTACACGATTGACCTCTCACGGATACCACCTTCAGCCATGGGCGCGCGCAAGTGGGGGGCAATTACCCGAAAGGAAGCAAAGGTGGCAGCTCGCGCGACCAGGACGGAGACCGCCGCCGTGAGCATCGTGGCAGTCCAAGGCACTGCTGTCCTGATCGTCGAGGAGATCGCGATGGCAGGGGCTGCCGTGATGGCCGTGACGGGGATCGTCGTGGGTTGCGTGGTATCCATGAGGTCCGTGATTCTCGCGACTACCACGAGTGCCGCGACATTCGTGCAGGCCGTTCCCGTGACTGCGACCGTGATGACCTTGAACGAGAGCCTTCCCGTCGACCCCGCTCGGCCTCACGCGAACGCAAGGATATCGAGGCCTTAAGAGAGGAGCTCGCGCGGAAGGACCCCGAGTACCGCTCGTGCGACAAGGATAAACGGGAGCGCGAAGAGGAGATGGCCTTGCGGAAGCAAAGAGAAAACTTAGCCCGAGCGATGAAGTGGTGCTTCGGGCATCAGCTTGAGAAGATCATCGACAGCAGCTCACGCACCAAGCAGACAAACGCACGGCAGCAAGAAGATCGCGAGGTCTGCCTGGCCCCAGTGGCAGCACCTCCAGAGAGCACGGCGCTGCCCAAGAGGGCGGGGCCGGGGCGGCTGCAGTCCAGTGCGGGGCGCAAGGAGAAAGTCCCATGTCGCCTCTCCTGGGGCGGGGCCACGGAGCTCCTCTAGAAAAGGATGCCTGACAAGCAGGTCGCGGGGATGATGGACAAATGCGTCGCCGCCCACGTCCCCAAGAAGCGATCCCCACGGCCGAGGCGAAGAGAATCCAGATGGAGCTGTGCATTCTAAATGGCAGTGATGTCTGAATCGATGGTACGACCTCTGTGGAACGTTCACAGTACGGTACTGAAGATTTCGCCCCTTGGTGTGAGAGTGAGGGCGACGCCTACTTCCGACACCCTGTGCTAGTCTGCCTCTATGGATTATGTTGTGCTTGCATGCTGTTGGTGTTGCTTCTTCTCAGCGACTTTGGAGTGGTGCAGGTGACAAGATCGTACATCACACTTAACTGGATGCATCTGAGGACAGCAGGGGACCTCCAACAACTAATCAATGCAGTGGGGCTTCCCCTGTCTTTAGTGAATCCCCAGAGCAGGTTGTTCTAGGACATGTTCTAACGGGCCTCTTGGGAGCCTCAGTGCCTGTCCTAACGAGTTGTGCCTCAGGGGCCCCGCTCACATCAGTGCCCCGCTCACTGCCATATCTTTCCGTAGACGTCTCAGGCCTTCGAGGCAGGCCTTCCAGATGCATGACTGGAATGTGATGACCCTCAGGGTCCGTTCCGTCTCCACTTATGATTCTAGAGTGTTTTTCTCCTCGCTTTTCCTGGGGGCCCTCTTTCATCCGTAAGTTTGTTCGAAGATTCACAGTTTCCCTGGGTACGTTTCCCCTACCTCCCTCGAGCGTCCTTTGGCTTTGCAGGCCGACCCAACGCCCGTGGGTGCCAGACTGGTCCAGTCAGGCGAGGTGTGCACGCAGGCCGTACCTCCTCCTGTCCCACTTAAGGCTATGATGACGACGACCTCCCTCACCTCCACCTCCCCCTCCCGCGTCCTGCCATGGACAACTGCGGAGCGCTCTGCCTGAAGCGCCTGTGCTTGGCCGGGACCAAGCACCAGGATTTGTGACTCCCCCTCTCTCTCTCTCCTCCCACCCGTTGTTGCAATATCATGTGTTATTGTCCCTTCTCCCCTTTCTCTCATGTGTGCTTCTCCCGTTGCCGTCCCGCTCTCACTTGTGTGTCCGCAGCCGAGTGTGGAGTGAGCCCTGTACCCAGACCGTGCTCACAGTACAGGGCCCGACGGTGTTTGGAGATTCTGACCAGAAGTTCGAGCCTGAGACCTCCAGACGGCTGGTGAAAGATCTACCAGATTGGATATGATTTCGCAGTTGGGGACTCTCTCTCTCGCTCCCTCTCCCTCCCTCCCCTCCCCTGTTGTCCCCTGTCGGATGCCCAAATCAAGGGGGCCTGGCTTGGGCTGCAGACAGCTTGCCCTCGGCGCCGCGGCCGGTCGTCCAGGCGCGCGGTGCCTGCTGGCGCCCCGGAGCGCCGCAGCCGGCCGCTTGCGCGCTCGGTGCCCTGTGGCCACTCGGTGCTGCAGGGGCCGCGGGCGGTGCACTGTGGCTGGTGCCCCTGGCAAGCTCGCGCAACCACGCCGAATTACCCAGTTGCCCTCTCTCTGTCTGCGCTGGGCCCGCCTGGGCCTAGGGGGGGCAGCGACGCTGGCTTACATCGTTGGCGCCGCGCGGGGTGAGGGGAGGAGGAGGTGGAGGAGGAGGTGGAGGAGGAGGAGGAGGAGGAGGAGGTGGATGAGGAGGAGGTGGAGGAGGTGGAGGAGGAGGAGGAGGTGGAGGAGGAGGAGGAGGAGGAGCGCCCTGAGGCCGCAGGGCCGAGATCGCTCCAGAGGTCGAATGCCGATGGGACCCCCGCCCTGCCAAGTCGATCCGCGAATGCCCCGTTTTCGGAACTCGAGGGAGTGCCGCGCCCGCGATGCCTGCGAGCGCTGGCCAGGTCTGGTACCAGGTTGTGCCCACCCCCGACATGGTCGCGGGGGGAGGGGGAGGGGAAGGGGGACAAGGAGGAGGAGGAGGAGGCGGAAGAGGAGGAGGAGGAGGAGAAGGAGGCCCCATGGTGTGGCCCCTGGCTTCGTGCCGCACGGCTCGCTTGCACACCGCTTGCGCTTGGGCGGTGCCGAAAAGGCCCCTGGAGGCCGCCAGCGATACTTCAACGAACATCCAAGATGTTTCCGACACTCAACGGAGGCACCGTGGCGAATCGCACATAATGGCCTCCTGCCGTACATGGGGAGCTACATGCGTGTGTACATGTGTGTACGACTGCCGCTTGGAGCAGCGGTAATCGTGATCGTACCCCCCCCCGTGGCGGTGGCCATGGAGGGCATGGTTGCGGTAGCGAAACTGGCGGTGGCAGCGAAGGCAGCCGTGGCGCAGCTGCGAATGGAACCTAAGCGCGCGCGTATCGCGCGCGTGGTTTGGATACATAAATGTATATATGTGCGTATACACATATTATACACAAACATGTATATGTATATGCATGTACAGACCCAGATGTACAAATATGGATACGGTGTTCCCATTTATCTCTGTACATGTACCCATACATAAACTCGGTGTATGCCCACACATTTGTTGCCAGCGTGGGCCCCACACAGTAGGCCCTTGCACTCTTGATGTGTTCTTGGTGTGCAGTGCCATATACGTAGTGCAAAGTGTGTGGTGTAAGAAATGTGGCGCGACGCACGTGGCGTGGGCTTTGTGACGCAGTGCTCGTGTGTGGTGCAAGGCTTGCGGTGCAAGCCACGTGGTGTCACTGTGTCAGCTATGGGGCGGAAGATATGTGGCGCGGGCCTCGCGGGGCAGGCTGTGCGGTGCAGGCTGCGCGGCACGCGGCGCGGGGCTCCCACGTGACGCCCACGGGCGGGCGCGAGGCGCCCACGGGGCGCCTTCGGACGGGCACCAGCTGGACACCAGGCGAAGCCCAGCCCCGCCCGCGCAGCACGCGGGGCGCCCACGGGCCGCCCGCGGGGGGGCACCTCCCGGGCACGAGGCGAGAACCCCATCACGCTCGTGCGCTCTCTTCCTCTCTGAAGCAGTCCAGGCACGAGCCCCATCGAGCCCCATGAGTGCAGGCAGCGTTTCGGGAGTCTGGGCCACCTGTGTGCCCAAGGCGAATGTGCAGGTGTGCCCCTCGCACACGTGCAGACCGTTGTCCAGTACACTCCTGTGTTGCTTTGTGTTCAAAGGCGGAGGGATGGCAAGCGGAAGGGGTTGCTGGAGACACCGCCGTCGCCACCGCAGGGCGCTCACAAAGTCTTCAAGAACGTGTTCGTGTACACGCCGAGCATGTCAGGCAGAGGGGTAGGAGGAGCGGGAGTCGGGGGAAGATCCCAGGGCGCCAAAAACAGAGGGGAGGAGGAGAAGGAGGAGGAGGAGGAGGAGGAGGAGGAGGAGGAGGAGGCGGAGGGGGAAGAGGAGGGGGAGGAGGCGGAGGAGGAGGAGGAAGAGAAGGAGGAGGAGGAGGAGAAGGAGGAAGTGGAGGAGGAGGAGGAGGAAGAGGAGGAGGGGGAGGAGGAAGAGGAGGAGGAGGAGGAGGCGGGGGAGGAGGAGGCCGAGGAGGAGCAGCAGCAGCAGCAGCTGCAGTAGCAACAGCAGGGGAAAAAGAAGGCAGAAGGATGGGACCTGTGCGCAGGCAAATTGAGGAAGATGAGGCGGGAGAGAGCGGGCCAGGACGAGAGGTCCCTGAGGAGGCCGAGGAGGAACAGTGGAGGAAACCGTGGCTGCTTCTGTAGTGAAACCAGGGCTTGCGCCTTCAACTCCCCACACCAGGCCTCATCCCACCAAGGCCCTCGAGAACGCCCCCGTCAACACCTCCCCCTTCCCCTCAAATTTCGTCCAACTCCATATCATATGAAGAGGGCCCAGCGTGTTATCAGACGTACGACGAACAAGAGCGTTTGCTTGCAAGCGTTCACAGGCTGTTTAAAGCTGATAGGGCAACGCTACATAGATTTGCAATGTCTTGCATTGCACCGTGGACCGATAATCCGGATCCCATTGAGCATGCGTTGTATTGATCTTGAGGTTTGGGCCGACACTATTGCATTGCATGATGTAGGGCTCTGAACTTCACATGGCGTTGCGCTGAACAGTGGACCAAGACTGGTATACTTTGCAGTGATGGGCCGGCCAGCAGTCGAACTGATTGGTCGACCGTCCCTTGTCATTGCCTTTTTTTTTTTTTGCTCAGGACAGGTTGAAGTGCGGCCCTTCCGCCTCCCCGACACTTCTTTCGAGTTTCGAGCCTTCCACCGCTCACGCCATGGCACCGAAGGCGATCCAGGATGCTGCCCCACAGACACGCCAAGAGAAGCGGATCGCAAAGCTGAGCGTCAAGAGTCGGCTCTTGAGCTTTAGGGTGAAGTTGCAGACTCGTCGGATCAATGCATTGCGTACAAAACTGCAATGCATCAGTAGGCTCATCGACTCAACTGTCAGGCATGACGATGCAGCCAACACTAGGTTCAGGGACGGGCCGCCAGGGCATGGAGATGGCCCCTCTTCAGACTGAGAGAGCTCTGAGTGCTGGCCCGTCCCTATTCCCACGCCTTTTCAATTCAGTCTGTTTTATTCTGCCTCTCTCCACCCTCCTTCCCCTGCGTCAATTTTGACGGGCCTGATCTTTAATCCACGAGACTTGCGTTCGAGACAAGCTCGGATGTGTGCAACATGGTGCGCACGACAAAGAACAAACCAGAGCCTCAACCGCACCCCAACCGTTTCACACTAAACACTCTATCAACATGTTATCGTTTAGTTCCCACTAGCACTCATAAATATGCAAAGGTCAACCCAATATTCGTTACTTCAACGCAGCCTCCTAAACCTCCCTCCCTCGCACCCTGACGTAAGCACGTAACCCTCCGAATCTCACCATGGCCAATGCTTCCTTTGCACTCCCTCCGTGCAGGTCCTGTTCACAAACGCAAAGCAAACATAATTAAACTAATCACCCTCCCCAGTCCTAAACTCCGTAGCCGTTTTGGCTCACCATGTCCATTGACATCGACCAAGACAGAGAAGTCCCTGTTTGGGCTGAGGGCAGTCCCGATGGCCCGTGTTCTTTGTAATTGCTGTTCGGGAGTGGCAGAGGCGGCGGCTGCGCAGTGTTTGGGATGACCTGGACGAAGTGTTCGGATCACGTGCGCAGTTGTTGCGCGCTGGACTCCGGCACGTGAGAATGAGGTTGATGTGCAAAGCCTTTTCACGCAGCAGTGGTGCTCACATGCCGAGGAATCGGTTCGAGGTGCACCATGTGGTTTTATTGTTCATGCAGTGCGTGATCGCTTAATGTTCGACTCAGCTTGGCGCGTGAATGAAGCCGTCAGTCAAGCCATGTGGGTGCGTGGGCTCGGCTGCAGCAAGTTCTACATGAGCAGCAGTCCAATGCCCTCGCTGGCCACGGCCTGCCTGCAGGAGGACTTCTTGGCGCTGCCCTGGTCGAGGGCGCACCTACCCATGTATCCTCCACCATATTCTTTTGGCAAGGCACGTGGTGCATCATGCAGATGCCCTCCATGTCGTTGCAGCGACTCGCAGGTTGGACCATGCGAGTCTGCTGGCAGGCGGCCCCAAATTAATGCGATTTCCAAGTGGAGGGGGGCGTCGCCGGCAACGCCATCGCAATCAGCAGCAAATGCAGCGCCTGATGGGGGCTCTCGGAAACGCAGCCGCAGCCGCCCTCTGTTCAAAGTTCGTCGCCAGAATTGCTTCGGACGGACAGCCTCGTGCGACGTCGTCTTGAATTGGACGGATGCAGAGCGGCACTTGAGAGCCTTGAGACGGAAAGGAGAGTCGTGCGAGGCACACGCCGAATTCTTAGCCCACGGTCGTCAAGACTCAGCAGAAGATCTTTTCAACGCTCACGCATCTGAGCTACGAGACGATCAGGAAGTCCCGCGACAGGCTGGACATGGCCAGCTGTTTTCTCTGGCGGGAGTCCTGCAGCGCGTCAAAATATTTGGATATGTACTTCGGTGCGACTCGAGTCCTCCTCGGAGAGGATTGGAGCTTTACACTGCCGTGGCCGATATTGCCCAAGCCGGCTCGCTTTGGCGACGATCCTTGCCGCAAATATGTTTGCCGAAACGGTTGTTCGGTAGCGTCGGAAGAACGTTTTGCATTTCCATGGATGCCGTGGTCGATGTTCGTGCCGACCTACGGCCGCAGAGTGGATGTCTGCAATCACAACAGGAGGTAGACGACGGATCTGGGCACAGAGGCACTCGTGGCCATCAGTGGCGATATACTGCAAGACTTCTTTTGCATCATCGGTGGGCGCGCGCCGCCTAGCGCCATGAGGCGCGACCAATTGTTTCCCCGAGCTGTGCGCGTGCCTGGATGGAAGCATGTGTGGATGGAGCATTTCGTTTCGGTATGTATTTATACAGGCGGTTTCCGTGGTGGCTGGAGAGACTGAATCACATCTTGGTTGCGGAATCGACCAAGGCACGTTGGGTCTCCAATCGGCCTGCCCCGCGACGGTGTTTCGTTTTGTAGCAGCAGCGAAATACGACGTGTATTGATTGTATGAAAATCAAGGTTCCAATCTGGAACGCAGGCTTTCGGGCCCTGGGCGCCGTTCGAGCCTAAAGGCATGACTGGTTATAACGCATAGGCAAACACAATGCGTACTACATTGTGAAGGATGCGCGTTCCTCGGGCGCGGTTGGTCTGCTATTCGTGCTGCCGAAATGCCAGAAACTGCGCAGTGGACCACCTTCCGCGGCTATGCGCGCGCGCGTGCGCACGAACACACACGCGCACGCATAGACACACACGCACGCACATACACACAGCGCATATGTAACACATGCACCTCCCACCTCGCAATATAGCATCGCTCTGCGTCGTTTCGCAGCACATGTTGCGCATGTGGCGCTATTTTGTAACGCTGGCCTATGCAGGCTGGCTAACTGCCCCATGGATCTCAGGAGGCGAGGCGTCCACGCACTTGCCCAGATGGTGGAAGCAACGAGCGCCCCGTCGTTTGCCAAATGGCGTCGGGGCACGAAACTTGTGTTTGCACGGCATCTGGGGCGAGTCATCCACTCGTTCTCGCGCGCTTAGACTACTGAAGGGCAACCCCCAAGCGCGGACGAACCCCGCATTTTGCACTTGATGACTGACGCATCTTGTTTTCGAGAGTGGATGACTGTATTCAAGTTCTTGCATTGGGTGGGTGGGTGGGCTTCTGACGTGGGGTGGTAGCTGCCTGTGTCACATGGCCGAGCTCATGCGAGGCCAGAGCGTTGACTGCGCTGAGAAGGGGGTGTCTGTTTCACATCGTGCACTCGCACGCTGCCGACGTGTTGCGGCGACATATGGATGGCGCAACGGGTGTGCGAGGGAATGGTTCGACGGTTGTGATGCGCCTTGGCGTCAGTTTCAAAGCTTTGTTTGGGCCGTCTACGCCCGCGCCCACCAGCAGCTCGATTGCTACCAGCAACTGCCCATGGCGATTGTTGTCTGGGCGAGCCTGGCAAGAGAGACGTCCTCATCTGAAAGTTCAGGTCGCATGCTCCTGAAGCGCACGAGGTGGCCACGAGGCTCGCGTTCGACTCGTCTTTTCTTGGGGGCATGCGCGTTGATGTGGACGCCATGCCCCTCGACGGCTCGGGCCTAAGCGATAGGGTCGCCTAGGAGGCCCTGGGTGCTACCGCAATGGTATATACTCCTCCCTCCCATCATCATTCCTCCTCTTTCTCATCCTCGTGCCCTGCCCCCTGCCCCCCTCCACTCAGCTGCGCCGAATAAATGGTGGCCCGAATGTGCCGAATGCCTTGAGATGGCTAATGGCGCCCCCCCCCCCCCCTCTCCCCCCCAAGAGAAAACGACGCACTTGCAGCGGGCTTCGGGGGAGGGGGGGGGGAGGGGGGGGCAGTGGGGTGGAGGGCGGGGGGGGGGGGGGGGGGGATGGCGAGGGGGGGGGGGGGGGGGGGGGGGGCGAGGAACATGTTTTTTTTTTGGCCTAGGGCCATCGCCCCGGTAGCTATAGCACAGGACCCAGATTCTTAGCATCAGGCGGGTGCGCATCGACGCTGGCGTCGGCGAGGGCCCGCTTTCGTGGTGCAAGTTGGCAGATGCAGCGAGAAATGATGGTTTCGTTTGGAATGCGTCGTCCACGCGACTGGTCGACAGCCTTCACGATTCCCGCACCTTGCCAGAGGTGGAAGGACTGAACAGACAAGCCTTGCGGGGCAACTACTTGGCTTTTCTACGGCCGAGCAAGCGCGGCAAAATCACTGGCAGGGTTGCCGCGCGGCAGTTTTACACACTGCGTGGACCACTTCA